ATACCACAATCAGGCAGTAACCAATTCCCTTTTCCCTTCGACCTAAGTTATTTTTTCCCATTTCGACTCCCAATGTTTTATCCCCCCCTACATCCGTTTCCGTATCAGCATACACCCCACCTCCGACCCTACCAAGCCCCCCACCTCTTATGTCATTATGGACAAGACCCCCCGTTTACTAAATGAAGAGACATCCTACAATCCTAATTTGAAGATACCGGTTAGAATAACATCACGCTTTAGTAAAACAAACTATGATCAAAATACCCCCACGCGAATTTATAATCCCAACAAGATTAGGAATACACATGCAAATTTAATTGCTATCAAGCCCACCAGAAATGGTCCTCCTACGCAAAAGATCATACCTAAATGCATGGTTATAAATGCACGTTCTCTTGCCAAACCTCAGGCAGTTTCTGCGTTGGATGTTGAGCTCTCTACATGGGAAATTGACATCTGCTTCGTGTGCGAGACATGGTTGAACAGTAAGATATTATCAAATTTAGTATGTCCCAATAACTATCTTATTGTAAGAAAAGATCGCGGCGATGGTCGAAATGGAGGAGGTGTTGCTATAATTTGTCGGGAAGATTGGAAATGTAAATCTCTAAACTTTCAAAATAATTTGGAATGCATCTGATGTGAAATTGAGACAGCAAATAACAAATACTATGTCGCCTCTGTGTATCACCCTCCGGACCCCACATATCAGGAAAGCGAATTACTAAATCATTTATCAGAGAGTATAGAGCAAATTCTTCAGTGGGAATCAAATGCCAGAATTATAATTGGAGGAGATGTTAATCAACTGAAGGTTAAGGATATTATAAGTCAACATAATATGGAACAAATGGTGAGAAAACCTACAAGAGGTCAGAAAATACTTGACATTTTCCTAACTAATTGTCCACACTTATGGAATCACCCTAGAGTCTTTGATGGCTTAGTAAAATCTGACCATTTGGCTGTCGTGATAACTCCACGGGTAGCTGTAAAACCGGAAAGAAAAACCGTTTATTTTAGAGATGCAAGAGACCATTGGAAGTTTGTTATGGTGAGAGAGTTGGAAGCACAAGACTGGAGCTGTATTGATGACTGTGAAGACGTGAACGAATCAGTTATGTTATTAAATCATATTATCACTTCTGCATTCAACAACAGTTTTCCATTGATTAAGATAAAATTATCCACACGGGATCCCCCATACATGTCTCCTCTGGTAAAACATTTATGTAAAATACGCAATAAAAGTGTGAGGAAAGGAGTTAACGAAGATCTAGAAAGAAAGATAAATAAGCTTATCCGAGAAAATATGGTTAGTGAAGTTAAGAAGGAGAATGGGAAATATGCATCTGGATCGAAGAAATGGTGGGACACAGTCAATAAAATCACCGGTAGGAAGGCAAATCACACCAGTATAAATATTGATCCAAGTGTTATAAATAGTTATTTCCAGACAATAAACACTGATGATAATTATACATATCCTGAACTCGTTCCTATACCCAATGAGACTAGAGTACCAAATGTTGATATACCCACTGTAGAAAGGTTTTTGGAAAAACAAAAGAAAACATCAACAGGTCCTGATGGCCTACCCTATTGGCTATGGAAAGACTTTGCAAAATATCTAGCCCCAGTGATAACAAAGATATTTAACATGTCATTGGAACAGCAACGCGTTCCCCTCCTATGGAAATTAGCCAATCTTAATCCAATACCTAAGGAAAGCCCCCTTATAGAATGTACACAATTAAGGCCTATATCTCTTACGAACGTAATGATGAGATTGTTCGAAAGAATAGTGTTTAAAAAAGAGATCTCATCAGAACTAAAACAATTAATAAAATCTGACCAATTCGCATATAAGGAAGGTACCAGCGCAACTGATGCTCTTATTATGTGTCACCATAAATGGCTAAATTGGCAGGATGGTGATGTTGATCATGTCAGGGTGATTTCATTCGATCTCAAGAAAGCCTTTGATTCCGTTTCTCACAACATCATTTGCAAGAAGCTAGGAAAAACCAACATTAATCCATATGTAATAAATTGTTTAGAAATTTTTTGACCGATAGGAGACAAAGAGTAATAGTAAACGGAATAGAAACAAATTATGTAGACATAAACAAAGGAGTACCGCAAGGCACAGTTCTTGGACCATTTCTATTTTCCTTAATGATAAATGATCTAACAGTCAAAGATCCAAATAACAACATACTAGTCAAATTTGCAGATGATATGACTGTTAGCGCTTCAGTGAAAAATAATTATGATTCCGCACTAGCTGAGGTAGACAATATTGAAAAATGGACGGAAACAAACAGAATGTCATTAAATCTAGATAAAACATGGGAAATGGTTGTAAGTGGCAAATCAACAAATCCTTTACCAGAACCAATAACGGGTATCGAACGCAAGACTTGGCTGAAACTATTGGGAACCACACTGCAGAATGATCCAAATTGTTGGGACCTTCAAGTTAATAATTTGATATCTAAAGCTAGCAGTCGAATGCACATCTTGAGAATATGCAGATCGTATCGCTACTCTAAAAAAAATTTAACAATTCTCTTCGACGCACTTATTATGTCTTATGGAATCGAAGTATGGGGTTCTGCACTTGAAAAGAAGTACCTGGAACGGATTGATAAATTTCTTAGGCGAGCATACAGATATGGATACACAACAAAAAGTGTTCAGATAATTGATGTGATTAAAGAAAGAGACATGAGTTTATTTGAAAAAATATGTAGCAACCCAGACCACCTTTTATACGAACTACTTCCTCCTAAAAGACAAAGACCGTTAAGAGAACGCGAACACGATTTCATATTACCTAAGGTTAAAACAGAAAGATTTAAACGGTCGTTTTTAAATAGGTGTCTTTTTAATAATTTTAGCTAAAATAATTAACTTAGATACATAATAATAACTTAGTCTTAGTCTTTTTAAGAATTCTACCTAAGAATAATTAACTTAGATACATAATAATAATTAAGTTGGGTTTTTTTTGGAACCTTGTATATGAGAATTTTAAATGTAAAGTCACACGTCTGTTGTGGCCATGTTTAATAAAGACTTAATAATAATAATAATAATAATAATAATTAGTTATAAACCTCGAAAGTCGGTTTATAACTGATATATTGCCCCCGGACGCTACGCGTCCTCGGGGGCAATATATCAGTTATAAACCTCCTACTCGGTTTATAACTCTAACTTAATACGTCAAATCTGACCAATCAACTGGTAGGAAATGTTATATTCACTGGTGCAAAATACTAAACAATGGTGTTAGGCTAAATAACTTGGATCGCGACCATATATAGTCATGTATGTAAATGTCTTGATGGCGCACATTGAGAAACATCATCGAGTTTCGTGTAAAAATATTTTTCTATTTGATCAACGATGCAACCACAAGGTTATCGCCAACCCAATTTTGTGCGAAACATGCGGATATAACCCGTATGAAAACCAGACCTAAATATAGAGCCAACAATATTCTCGCGTCATTTTCAACAATATTCTCAACAGATATTCTCGCGTCATCCTCGCGCGTGCGAGTGCGCGCGAGGGAACTCTTTAAAAATTTGCTTTTTTAGTAGTCCAAAAACACTGTTTTGGAGTAAAAACGTATAATAAAGTCGTCTAAGAGTATCAGGAACTTGGACTTGTGAATTTCTGGAGAGTTTGATTCAAGAAAGCGTCGTTTGGAGTGTTTTATTTCTTCGAAAGTCAGGGGATTTTTGTTTTAGCATTTTACGCCAGTTGAACGTTTGCTTAAGCCACACGTCATCGTCATCAACGATCATCGCAAACACGTAATTAAATCCGTACGTCATCGAACTACGTGAGTTCAATAAATTAATACAAACAGAATAAATCACGTGAGTGTAAGCTTTGAATTTAGAAATGGTTTTAAAAAACACTTCAGATGGAAAGAAAAGTCTAGTTAAGATTGGACGCTTCATAATTAACATGTTACTTCTTTTTTCAATTATGAAACTGTCTGTGAAAGTTAATCGAGACGCTAATAAAACCCAAATTACATCAGGAAACATTTTAATCTGCTCCGAACTTGTTTCTCTGCCCGAAAAACTATGCTATGTTTGGGTTTCCACCCGTGATGTTCTTTTCAGAAAGTATAACTTACCATGCAATAACCAGCATCGCTACGGCTTAAACTTACAAATTAACCGCAAGATCTCACATGCGTCTATATTACTCTTGCTTGCCGGAGATATCGCAACGAATCCTGGACCTTACAAACACACGAATCGTGAAAACCAGTTCGTAAAATGTCTCGCACTCAATGCTCGAAGTCTGATGAGTTTACATAAAACCAACATCTTAAACAATTTGACAGATACTAACATTGAACGCTTCCAGAACTTGGTCTATTCTGAAGATCCCGATATTGTTTGTGTCAACGAAACGTGGCTTAATGAGGATATTAAAAACTTTGAAATTCTGCATTCGGGATATGATATATTCAGGAACAATCGCGGATATCGTGGTGGTGGAGTACTGTTAGCGATAAAGATTTCATCATTTAAATCAGTGCGGGAAATTCAACATGGTCATGATTGGAGATCTCCATGGCTGAAATAACAACCACTTCAAACGCAAGTTTATTAATTTGTTCTTGTTATCGTCCACCAAACTCAGATCATAGCTGGTTGGACAAGTTCAATAATTTTATGAGTGATGTTTGTTCGCAACACTCAAACATTGTGCTTGCAGGAAATTTCAATATGCCACGTATATCATGGGACTCGCCAGAGAAAACATCAGGTAGTAACGAAAATACCTTCGTAGAACTGCTCCATGACCATTTATTGGAACAACTAAACACCGCACCTACTAGAGGTAATAAGACGTTAGATCTCGTTCTTACCAATATTCCCAACAAAGTCAAAATATGTGAAATTTTGTCTGTCACTCAAGCAGTACTTTTCACCGATCACAACATTATTGTGTTTGAACTTTCAATGTGTCATAATCAACTGCCAAAGATACGCAGAACTGTCTATAATTATCGTCAAGGTGATTTTTCTGGCTTACGAACTTCCCTTGAATGTCTAAATCTGGATTCTCTGATTACAACCGACGACAATATCAACCACGACTGGCAACAATGGAAGAAGGCGTTCCTAGAAGCAGTATCCCAACACATACCATCAGTGAGAGTAAAGGGTCGCAACTATGTACCGTGGATGAATTCTACATTTCTACACAACATCAAGAAGAAAAACTCTCTCCGCCTCAGAATTAAGAAATCCCCTACACCTACTGAATATCTCCTGGAAAAATTCAAAACCCTTCGTAGTTCCATCAAGAGTATGTTACGTAACAGTCGCTCCAAATATTTCGACTCTATTTGTTCCAGCCGTGGACTTAATCCCAAACGCTTCTGGTCCCTGTTCAAGTTCAATAATAAGACACGGAACATTTCTCAAAAGCTCTCGGTGAAAGTAACTGAAACCAAAAGAACATCCGCAGGAAATCCAGCAGATATTGCTGCGCTGTTCAACAACTACTTCACATCTATATTTACCACCGATCCAAATATCGAAAACTACAGCTCTGACGCTCTTCCATATCAGTCTAACAATACTATCATCGAGGACATTACCCTTTCGGAAGCCGATGTTTTCTCCGTATTGCATAACCTCGACATTAACAAAGCCCAAGGTCCAGATGGGATTCCTGCACGATTATTAAAAGAAACAGCTCGCCAAATTGCTCCATCACTAACCGCCTTGTTTAATAAATCTCTGAACACTGGTGTGTTACCACGCGACTGGAAACTAGCAAATGTTGTTCCCGTTCACAAAAAAGACAACAAAGAGCACGTAGAAAACTATCGACCAATTTCGCTTCTTTCGCTTATCTCGAAAGCATTGGAAAGATGCGTGTTCAATAAGATCAAAGACCACGTTTTCGAACAGATTAACAACGGTCAACATGGCTTTGTTCCTCGGAAGTCCTGTGTTACACAGCTCATTGAAGTCTTTGAGTATATTGGTCGTGAGCTGGATCTTGGGAAACAAGTTGATGTGATCTACTTGGATATGTCCAAGGCGTTTGATCGAGTAAGTGACATGAAACTGTTGAAACGACTTCGTGATTTTGGATTCGGTGGCAATATTTTTAACTGGTTTAAATCTTACCTCAAGGACCGTCGGCAGCAGACTACAGTACTTGGTGCAACATCATCAGCACTACCAGTAACCTCCGGAGTTCCCCAAGGCTCAATCCTTGGACCGCTACTGTTCCTATTATATCAGAATAATCTCCCCAACTCCATCAACCACTCGAAGATCGCGACGTTTGCTGACGACACAAAGATTTACAAGGCGATAAACGCGAAGGCTGATGCATCCGCTATGGAGAATGATCTTGCGAATTTCCAAACCTCCTCTGCCAATGCTAATCTTCTCCTCAACACAGATAAATGTAAGACACTTCGAATTACTAGAAAACGCAACAAAATCGACCATACTTACAAGTTGCAAGATTCCGCTCTGAAAACCACAGATTGCGAACGTGACCTTGGCGTCTGGACCTCCTCCACTCTCACATGGTCGAAACAAGTCCTCCACCAGTGCGCCCAAGCCAACAAATCCCTCGGGTATATTCGACGGTCCACGATCAAAATCAAGACCATCTCTGTTCGTCGGACTCTATATCTTACCCTCGTTCGTTCCCACCTCGCATACGCGTCCCAAGTTTGGGCTCCACAAACTGTTGACCTCATTAAGCGTACAGAACGCGTTCAAGGACGTGCTTCGAAGTACATATTGAACCTACCGTTCTTCTGTGACATCAACTACAACCATCGTCTCTCAACATTAAATCTACTACCTCTGTGTTACTGGCACGAGTACCTGGACATATTGTTCCTTTTCAAATCACACCATGGCATTATTAACCTAAGCAGCGACATACTGCCACACCCTCAAAACTCAAGTCAACGTACCCGATCTACAAACCCTAAATGCCTACAATTTAAGACTTCAGCATGCAAAACATCTACCTATCAAAAATCATATCTAATAAGGACTACTGGAGTCTGGAACACACTGCGAATAGATTTAACTATTAATAGCATGGCAACTTTAAAAGACTTTAAAAATAAGTTATTAATCTATTATAAAATAGCACTAGATAAATGTTATGACGTTGACGATCCACGAACATGGAAATCGGTTTGCTTAAAATGCAACCAAGCTCGCGACCTGACAAGGCCGATAACGTGTTGTTTTTAGATTTAGTTTTCAGAAGTACCTTTTCACATTGGTATCTATGGGGCCTATTCAGGTTTTGCTGAAGGTTTAGGATTGTGAGGGTTTCAAACGTCTTCTGACTCAGTCAGCTTCCAAAAATGGAAGTGGTTCTGCGGGTCGCAATGTGAAAAGTTTCATCTGATAGTTCGTTAGTAATTGATCCTTTCTATGTACGTATATAGTGTATTTGTCGAACATTTAGGGATCGCTGTAATTGGCGCAAGCTGTTGCGATTGCCCTGCCAGTTTTTTGTGTTAACGTTGTTTAAATCTGGCAAAGTTAATAAATGATAGCCTTCTTAAGTCGATTGTGCTGAGGACGATTTTCTTTTTAGCTTGCATAAATTTTCCGTTGGACTGCTTTTCCCATACGGAGGCCCACAGGATGAGCCCTAGGGGTACGTTAGTAACAACTGAAAGAAGTGGGGAATCTGATTTAATAGTAATTGACTCAAGGTTGATGTACGTTAGATTGTTAATAGTGTCTGTTATCCATGAAGGTGGAATCTGATCTTGACAGTAAGCATAGTACCTTGTTGCTGCAACTGATACGCCACGATAACCCCAGATCCACTGTGAATAAATGTGGTGAATTTTCCTTACATATCTATTATCAGCTGTCGCTTGGACAAGACCTGAGGAAGGTTTCAGGAAGTTATTTTCCACCCATTGCTTGTTTACAGCGTCCTTAGCATTTAGGACAGCGTCCTTAGCATTCCCTTAGGGACTGGTCATTATTTATGGAAGGGGGGAGGGGAATTTTTTCTTTCCTAAATTTAAAAAATTGAAAGCCCCCCTTAAAAGAGCAGAAATGTAATGATAACCCCCCTCTACATATTAGAATATTTTTTATTGACCCCCCGCCCCCATCTTCATTTTTATTCGAGAAATGGGGATACCCAGGCCAGTGCTCTCACAATCAAATTTTCGAATTCCTTAGAAAAAGCTCGAAAATTCGTCAGATTTCCTTAAAATTCCTTAAATTGGTAAAATTACCACAAGGCCTGATCACACAGTTGCAAAAAGTGTTTTTCGGCCTCCTTTTTTCTGTTTTTCAGTTTTTATAACCTTGTTTCTAAGCACTAAAAATTGAAAACATTTGATTGGTCTTGATTGTTAGCATAATGCCATAAAGAAAACATTCAACATTGAGAATTTTAATGAAAAGACCAGTGGCGGACACTTTACGAAATATTCGGCGGGGGGGGGGGGCTCTGCCGAAGGCACGGAAAAATTTTTAAATTTGAATCCCGGAAATGGCATTTGCAGCGTTCTGAGAACACATTTTGTAAAAAACTAGGGTTTCAACTAGGGTTTCAAAAACTAGGGTTTCAAAACTAGGATTTCTGCAGTCTTTCAAAATAATTGGGGGTGCTCAGGCCCCCCCCCCCCTGGTGTCCGCCACTGGAAAAGACAGCCATATTTACATTTATGACATAGAGAGCATACAAATATATGTAATTATGTGCGTATAATGTTGCTACTTTCAAGTTTAAATCTCATTTGCGTGGCGTGGTTATCCTCCGTCCAACGTTTTTAGTCCCGGATAAAATGTTTCGGAAATTCCTTAAAAAAATCCTCAAAAACCTAAATTCCTTAAAAAAATCCTTAAAACTCTTCAAAATTCCTATTTTTAAGGATAATTCCTTAAAAGTGAGAGCACTGACCCAGGCGTTATAATGTTAATTATTAATTAAATAAGAATATGGAGCTGACAAGATATTAACGTCGACCAAAAATATATATTAGCAGAAAATTATAAATAAAAGAGGGGTATTTTCATATATAACTCTAAAATCAGGTTTCCATTTGATCTGGGCGATTGTAACCATGTTTAACGGCAGAGAATTAATATTAGTTTTTGGAGGCAGGTGCCGTTTGTGCTCCAAGGCTGTAACTAGATTTGATGGCACAAAGTATTGCCATAGCAGCTGCAATGAGAGTAACAATCAGTAATATTAGCAGCAAAAGGAGATAGCCATGACAATTCTGGACATTCTGCCAAGGCATACCTCCGGCAACAGTCACACTGACAAGTCAGTGGAAACAAAATATAATGTATGGTGGTCTATACATCCTATTTTATGTGAGATTAAAAATTATATAAAATAAAATGACCTACTACCAGATAAAATCCTCTAGAGTAAACATGGGTGGGTGGGGTGGGTAAGGCAAAGGTATCTAAGCGCTAAGCTTTGCTGTAGCTAGGCAAAGCATACAATGGCAGTATGGATGCCCAGACCGAAGCACTGATCACAAGGCGCGAAACACCCCCTTTAATCGATATGACGTTACAGACTCACGTCACGATATGACGTCACAGACATAACCTTGCTTAAATGTATTTAACCACATCAAGATAGCTCATGTAATAATACATTGTCAATTTATCTCTGCAATCTGTAAAGACTGATTTGCATACAGCACACAGAAGACAAGATAAATCCAGACTATTTCACACCAGTGACCATGATTTAGTCGCAAATAAGAACAAATGGATACCATGCTTATTAAGCAAATTCCTTCCAATTTAAAAGCAACCCCGCCCCCCCCCGCCTCCTCATTTTCTTCAAAAATTTAATAGCCCCCCCCCTTCTAGGCATTTATTTATACATATGCCCACCCCCTCATTTTTCTCTCCCCCCTTCCATAAATAATGAGCGGTCCCTTAGATCAAGAATACCACTCGAATCTCCCATATCCAGATCACCCTTTACCAATTCACCTCTACTACTCATGAACTCATCAGTTGCCCATTTCTTATTAACAGCAGAACCGTCAGTTGTTGGGTCAGCTACCTTGGTTAACTCAAAATTATTCACATCTAGGTTACTTGCTAACGTATCACCGTTACGCTTCAGAAACTGTAGCCCCCAAGTGTCCAGCGTCTTACTTGAAAGTGCAGCTGTGTCTCCCACAGAGCCCCCTGCAAGTCCCGTTATGCTATGCCCTCCCATGTCAATATTACCTGTCATAGTGAAACCGCTACTATTGATTGAACTTCCACTAACATGATCAGTAACCCACTTCTTAGATACAGCAGACTTGTTAGTAGTAGGATCACCTAACTTTACTATTTCATTGTTTCCCATATCGAGGTCATCAGATAGTGTAAGACCACTATAAGTCTCACGTCTACTCCTACTTCCACTTATCTTATCCTCGACCCATTTTTGGACACAGCTGACGAATTAGCTGTGGAATCACCAATATCTTTAATTTCATAACCAGCCATCTGAAGGTCACCTCTCATTCTGTCTACACTTTCCCCAAAAAGCCTTTCCTTATGAGACCACTTGAAGTAGAGGCATCCTTACTAGAATGTGGACTTCATCAAATAGAACACTACCACGGACGAACTGATTATTACCCCCAGACAGCTTCAGGAAGTTACTACTGTTTGATTTAAACCATCCCTTGCTAACAGCAGACTTATCATCTGTGGGAGTGGCAAGATTTTTAATCTCATGGCCCTTCATATCAATATCACCAGCAATATTAAGTCCGGAGACAGGTTTATCCAGCATTCCAACGACCCAGTCCTTGCTAACAGCAGACTTGCCAGTAGTGGGATCACCCAAAGCCTTTATCTCATTGGTTGACATATTGAGATCATTTGTGAGGGTAAGACCAGGTAGACTAGCATGTGTATGTCCACGACCACCTTCAACCCACCTCTTATTAGCAACATCTCCAGGATCAGTAGGATCACCAACATCTTTGATCTGATGATTTCTCATATTAAAGTCACCAGTAATGTAAGACGTACCGTCGCGTCTGGTATAGTGACCCAACATGGTAGCCACATAGTCATAGTTAACGACTGTCTTAAGTGCACGCGATGGATCACCGAGATTGGTTATCTTATTACCACCCATATTTATGTCACCAGTCATGGTGAATCCTGCCGGTTGAATTGTAACAGAAGCTTGTTTGATAATTTCATCATCTACCCATTTCTTTGTAACCGCAGACGTGTCATCTGTAGGAGCACCCAGACCTTTCACCTCATTACCATCCATTTCAATGTCACCTTTCATAGTAAATCCATCCTTATTAAACACACTTCCACTTGATGAGTCAGCATCATTTGCTTCCTTACTGTATCCTTGATAGATAGCCATTTTTATAACATACACAATGTTTCACAGAACAGTTCTCAATACAAGAAACACAGCAACAGACCCGATACCGAGTCCAGCTAAGACATTATTACTAGAAGACTCATGGGTACTAACCGCCTTACGCTGCACAACTGGTGTGGTAACCTTAGGGACAACAGGAGGTGTAACACTTACAGGGCTTCCTGGAACTTTTGTATTTCCACTAAGAGTATCAAGGTGGTGAACTGGTGTGCTATTTGGATGGTGTTTCTTTGGAGGATCAGCTTGCTTAACACCGACATAATTTACCTTCGGATTCTCCCCAAATTTCATTGTACTATTTGCTGTCTGTAGCAGGTTATTATAACCGAGTATCGGAGTTTTTAGAATAATGAAGTTCGATGGGATTAGAACTATTCCAGGGGATAGAGCAGTATTCAAAATCACATTTGTGTCCCTCACAGCTTCCCTCATATTACTAATTGTTGTTACCGTACTACTTTGTAAAATAGTAGAATTCACAATAGTTCTAAAGTCACGTTGCGTTTGGATGGCTTTAAGAACGTTTCCTTCTATCGACCACCTAGTATTAGCTTGAGATCCTAACATAGCATACACATAGGACTCAATACTCTCCTGGATAAGCTCAACACCCAACTTAGTAAAGCCATTGCTTTTTTCAGCTATGAATGAGAGGTAATCGCTACCAGACAAAGGTCCCGCACTAGTTGTAGCACCACTTCCATCAATAATGTAGGCCTCGATAATCGGGATATGTTTTCTTACAATATTGAGGTTAACTCCAAGTTTATCAATAGCATCCTTACTCACCGTTAACTTTCTAGTGGTGTAGTACAGATGATATCTCATAATGGATGTTATTATTTTAGGAATATAATTACTCTCGCGAACGTGTTCCAATGATACCCCACTAAGATAGCTAGCTATATAGGCACCCGACAACATTCTAGTGTATGGTATCGTATTGAAGGAAACCTTTCTTACATCCTTATTAGTTAAATTATGACCTTCATCCCAACCTACACCAGCATTGGGGAAGTTAGACATGAAATAACTGTTTTCATTCACATAGACCTTAAAGTTGTTAAAGTTATAGGGAAGATTCACATGAGGTCGATACGTGTTAATACGATAACCATCATCATGAATTAAAACTCGACTAGGTCCCAACTTTCTTTCATCGTAAATAGGATTCTTTGGAAAGACCAGTGGTTTAAGTTCCTGAACTGTCCCATTACTATTCCAGAGAAGCGGCCACCCTTTTGGTTTCAAGGGAACGTCGGGCTTAGGTTTCAGGGGAGGTGGCGCCACCAACTTAGGCTTTATTGCTGTAAGGTATGAGGTGTACTCCTTGTCTTCCTTAAAGCCGTCATATTTTATATCATAGGATGTAATTCCATCAAAATCTACAAACCACGTAACAACTCTTATGTCACCACTACTGGTAGCCTTAGCTTCAAATTTAAATCTTCTCATATCTGCAAAAGGATACTTTACTTTAAACTTAGCCCTCTCAGCGTATCAGCCTTTTTACCAGTAATAGGATCAACATAATCTTCACTGACATCCTTTCCGTACTTTTTTTCATAGTCTTGGTACGATCTATACGGCGACTTACCAACTTGTCTTCCACCCGGTATCATTTTGTAATAGAATAACGTATGTTATTAAGATGAAGTTTACAATTCTTACTAAGGGTCCGCACACTGTAGTACCACTGTATAATTCAGTTCTAACAAGCAACTATGGTTCAGTCTTTGTGAAGAAAGTATCTGTCTTCTGGGAGTATTTCAATATAGTGAAACAAATAACGTTAATTATTGTAAAGACAGATGGCGGAGAATCAGATGTAAACATTGAAAAAGGATACCACACATTTGCTAATATTAAAGCTGTGCTTGAAAGACACGGTGTAATGCTAACATACTTTGGGGAAGCAGCTAAGTGTCAAATAGAGACAACAAAATATGACATCACAGTAGAAAAACACCTACTTAACATGTTAGGATTCAACAGGTATTCTACCTCAATGATTCTATTAAAAGGGAGAAGTTTATCAGGTGATAGTAAAGTTGACATTAACAACGGACTACGATTCGTAAACATTCATTGCAACCTTGCAGGTAAGAGCTACAACACTAACCACTGGGGTAAGCCAAGTGATCTGATAACAAGTATTACAATTCCGACAGACAGACCATTACTAGGCTCTGTGGTTAGTTACATTGACATTGAAAGCAGATTTGCAATAGTTAAGGGTTCATGTTCAGAACTGGTTTTCCATGTGAGAGATCAAGACGGGAAACCTATTGATATAGGTGAAGTGCTTATCTAGATGTACCTTGAGTAGTGAGCTTACATTGGTTAATATAAGATGGACGACGATATTATGAAAGAACAGGGACTACGAGATATTTACTACAATCCTAAAACTGGATTCCAAACACCAGAGAAACTATATCTTAGAGCAATATCAGACGGACTTAAAGTAACCAGAAACCAGGTCAAAAAATGGATAAACGAGCAAGACACATACACTAGGTACAGACAAGTGTTTAGGAAACATAAGTTCAGACAGACGTACGTCCAAACTTTAGGTGAACAGTTACAAATGGATTTAGTTGATATGACAAAATATGACGACAAGAACAAGGGATACCGCTGGATTCTCACATCCATTGAAATACTAAGTAGGTACGCATTCACAGTACCAGTGTATAGGAAAAACGCGACATCAATGAAGGACGCAGTCAGTAACATTTTAGAGCAATTTAATAATCGTTTTGGTAAATACCCAAAATTCACCCAGTTTGATCAAGGCACAGAGTTCTACAACAAAGAAGTAAAGTCATTGCTTAATAAACATAACATTGAATTTTTCTCTACTTACTCAGACAAAAAGGCCGCAGTTGTGGAAAGATTTAACAGAACACTGAAAGCGCTAATGTGGAAGTACTTTTACAGTGCCAGTACATATAAATGGTTAGACGTCCTTCAAGACTTAACTGATAATTACAACAGTTCAGTGAACAGATCAATTAAAACAACACCGGACAGTGTAAATGAGTCCAACTGGACTGAAGTATGGCAGACACTTTTTAGTCACAATTTAGGCAAGCCGTCAGAACCAAAGTTTGCTGTCGGAGAAAGTGTCAGGATCTCAAAGTACAAATCAGTGTTCACAAAAGGGTACGAAGCAAATTTCACAGAGGAGTTATTCACTGTGACGGAAGTGTATCACGGCCATCCAAACACGTACACAATAAAAGACAGTGCTGATGAACCAATAATTGGCAGATTCTATGAACAAGAACTGTATAGCGCCGAAGGAAGAGAACCTGATTTTAGAATAGAGAAAGTGCTAAGGAGAAGAACAGTGAAGGGTAAAAAGATGGCCCTAGTTAAGTGGTTAGGTTATGATGACAAATTTAACAGTTGGATACCAGCTGGAGACATAAAGTCCCTAACATAGGTTAAAGTATTATGGAGGGTGCAGAGGACTATGACCAGTATGAAATGGAGGAGATGGAAAAGACCTATCCTCAGTATGATGACATGAACTACGACGACTTAACTTCGAACTTTGATGAACTAACAAATAGGTTAAATAGGGAGGTAAAGTATAATTCAGATCCATTGGTAGTTACTGACCTTAACAGGGAGATCAGCTACGTAAGGCGACTCATGAATGAACGTGATATTGCAGAAACAACCTTCACCGAGGATAATGACGGTACAGTAAACATTTCAGGACCATCAGGAAGCACAACCGTTCCAGGAGTAGACTTTGTGGAAGACCCTAACGATTTATTCCAGACGTGCTAGATGCATTTGATGAATCATTTAACGCTAATTGGGACGATATAGAGGAACGTCTAAGTAAACTGAAAAAGTTCTCAGAAGACCGGCTCACAGCAAGTAAGAAAAGAGACTTTGAAAACCAAGTGGAACGTGTTCAAGCTGTCACAAGGGTTGTTCAAACAAAGGAGAAAATAGTACTCGATCCTAGGAATAAATATGTCAGGGAACTTATAAAGCGATCATCTGTCAGAACACTTAATGATGGCACAGAGGTGTTAGTGTTTAGAAGTGAACAGGGTATTGACAAGAGTGGCACCCAGATAATGAAACGTGGTAAGACCAGTATACCTGTGTACTCTAAGAATTCCATTGCATTGAGAGAATACAAGGAACTGGTGAGGAAAATTAAGAATGAACCCGAAAAAGAAGCAGGTGTGGATACAACCGATGTAGTTGAAGATATGTTTGAAGATATTGAGCTTATAGACATAAGTCAACAACTAGATGATATTCCAGCTTTAACTCCTGAGGAAAATAGAGAGCTGCGCGGTGTTCTTAATCCAGGAGAGGGATCAGATCCTAATAGTAGAATAGGACCTGAATGTGCACTTCAAATACAGGTGGAACACCTTCAGGATACAATTAATAAAACGATGAAGTTGAGAGAGGAAACTGATGATCCAGAGGAGTTCATTAGACTGGAAGAAAGAATAATCGCTCTGAGGGAAGCAAGAGATAGAACAGCTATGCAGAGAGAACTGGAGGAAGGTAGACAGGCCCAGGTCGAAGACATTTCTAGATTTCGCAAGTTAGTGGAATGGGTAGGGGAGAATAAAGTCGGCCTCACAGGAATAGCAGTATCAGCAGCCGCTTTAATTACAGCCTTAATAGTCAAAGCCAGGGGGGTACTTGTAGGGACAGCAAAGGCAACTGGTAAAGTAGCAAAAGCACTAGCAAATTTAGCAAAGAAAGCAGGACCAATTCTAGTTCCAATCCTGAACGCAGTTGCAACGGCGCTATCATGGGGTGCTAAGGGAGTTGCATGGTTAGCGTCACATATGTGGGTACTAGCTGTAACGGCTGCATTAATTGCGTACAACTATCTCGAAAGCTAAACATCACATATTGTATAAAGTATGAATACCACAGAAAGAGAACTCCAGCCTGGCTTCAGGAGGAGCCGCATGACATCTGTAAAAGGACCAAGAACTAGTAGTGTCGTAACATTTAATCCAACAACTATCAGCCCAGGTGAAGAGCTGTACATTAACATCCCTAAGCTAAAACCTGACTCTTGTTTAGTTCAAGGATCACTTGCACTATTATTTGACTTCAAGAATTCCAATACAAAAAGCCACTTTAATAACAACCTATCTAAGTTGATAGCTAAACGTCTTCAAGTTAAAGTAGCTGGTGAAACAGCTTACGATTGTTCAGGAGAGAGTTTGTATGAAATTTACAGAGATCTATGGCTAACACTAGGTGACAGAAAAAAGATGACAGAACAGGGTCTTGCAAGTGAGAATCTCAGGAAGCTAATCTCAGGTGATGACTCAGGTGTAAAGGTTGGTGATGCTAATAAAGTAGCAGATGGACTTCTTCACGGTGTGTATGGATCTAAGCTGAGAAAACCAATTGTTAAAATAATTGCAGACCATGGACTCTACACTCCATTCTATATGAATAACAATCCTATGTACATCCTCACACTCCCACAATCAGATGAGATTATGACTGCCCAAGGAGGTGAAGCTAAGGGTAATTATAAACTTGACAATCTTGAGTTAGAATACGAGACCATTGAGAATGACGCCCTTGCAAGTGAAGTATCAAGGATGTATTCAACAGGCCGCTCACTGTCCTACAAACATGTCACACTAATGCGCACAAGTAATTGGGACAAGGATCTTACCATTGTCAATGAAAACATTAATATCCCCAGAAAGAGCATGTCAGCAATTGTCCTTCTATTTACAAGTAGAGTGAGAACTGATTCTGAAGAATATATTTACCCAAACATTGATAAAGTGAATCTTACCATTGAAGGTGTGCCTAATGCAGTTTTTTCCCAAGGACTTCATAAAAATAGGTTCTTCGAAGAGGCAAAACGATTTTTCTGCCCTATGTGTGAGAAATCCATGGCAGACGAATTTATGTCTATCAGCAAGTTCTTCAGCAATGGTTTTGCTCTAGTAATTGATCTTAGAACGACTCAGGATGATACTACTGGAGGAGGAAGGAAGATTGTCAACACACAGTCTGGAGTACTTATGGAAATCAAGAAGCAAGCCACAACAGCTGACGTTCAGTGCAACATTTTTGTTGTATCAGATGCCCTCCTTAACTTTGCCAATAGAGATCTATCTAGTATTCAATACTAGGTACCCTGCGTAGTTTGTACCGACTACGTCAGTAGACGCTGCTAGCGCAGCTAGTACTAACGGTAAAGCATAGAGATGCAACTTGAACCACCATTCAACATGCTTATAGTAGGAATGACAGGAAGTGGTAAAACTCAGTTCTTACTAAATATGTTAGAAACGGAATACAATAAAGTTTTCGATTATATTGTGATTATATGTCCAACAATAGAGTGGAATACTACTTACATTAATTGGGCTCATATTAGTGACCACGGAGTCATACAAATTCCATGTTCACAAGAAATGATCAATCTTATTCTCAAGGCAGTGTCCACCGTATTCCGCGGAACTCAGACTCTCATTATAGTGGATGATTGTGCTGCAAGTCAGGATGTAAAGAAAAGGGTCTCAGAACTGGTGCGCCTAGCATTCTCCGCAAGACATTACAACCTATCAGTTATTGTAATTACCCAACAACTGTCATCAGTAGCAAAACCATTCAGGGAGAACATTTCCAGATTAGTTACATTTTACAACCCTAGTCGCAGAGATATGAAGGTCATAACAGATGATTACCTAAGTGGCGTTCCTCAGGAGACAATTACAGAGATTACGAAAATACTAAAAGATGAGAAGTTCACCGCATTAGATATACTCCTTATTCACCCTTACACATACACTATCAAACAAAACATCGCGTAATATATAAAAGATGGGATCTGAATCTGATGAAGAAATATCTGCAGCCGTGAGAGAAGTAGAAGAGGCCGCAAGGACGCCGCAAAGGAAAGCTAAGTCTACCGCAACAAAAACTAAGCCAACCGCAGATAAGTCGCAAACTGAACACAAAAGGAATAAGCTTATCGAGCTATCTAAGGACGGTGTAATTGATAAGACCGCAAGTTTCATAAGAAAGTCCAACAAAGATGTTGTGGATAGACTTTACAGTGAGTATGAAAGTCAGAGGATGTCATGCGCAAGTGACTTCTTATCAACACTTATTATCTCAAAGTTTGCTTCCATACTAGGAAGTTTTAATGCGGTGAATCTTCTGAGAAGCTGTCAGAGGAACTACTTAGTGATAAGCTTTTAAAGGATGACGTATCATATCTAACTAGAATGATATCCCCAAACATTCCATTCATAGGTCTCATATCAGGTGGATGCACAACAGCTAAGCACGTGGTTGCTCACAAGTGGAATAAGAAGGGAAAGACTGAGGAAATATCTGAGGAAGCAAAACAAATCTTATTACATAGCGAAGAAGAATGTCAGACCATGAGTGGGAGAACGCCTGGGAAGGAACAGAGTTCGAAGATATAATCAACGAATTAATTGAGAAAACCAATAGGAGCATGGAAAAGATAGATAGGATTGGGAAGAAAGTTGACGCAATTGAGAGGGACTTATATGCACTCAGGAATAAGGTTATACTACCCCTTCAGAATGACTTCTATAACTTTAAGGATGACACAGTTAAAACAGTAATAAAGATATACAAGAACCTTCATGGAGTATAGTATTTTATTTGCTAAGGGATGTAAATAGTCATAATAAGCAGCTGGGTGGGAAGAGGGAATGCTGCTTAATAAATCAAAATAAAATAGCCATAAAATAGGCCCAAAAATTTTTACATATATAGTATAGGGAAAGATGGAAAAACTATTCAGAAACCGAGAGTTGAATGTTAGCGTGAGAACTGTTAAGAGTGGTGAGGAGGTACTGTTTTATGCAAAAGATGTGGCAGAATCTCTAGGGTACTCGAACACAAAAAAAGCAATTAGAAATCATGTTTGGGAAGAGGATAAGTGCACTCTAGGGTCCATCCAAAAGGGGTCCCTCGAGGGACCCCTTTTGAAAGGGCATCCTGGTTCCACTTTAATTACAGAACAGGGTTTGTACCAGTTAATTTTCGGATCAGAGCTTAACACAGCAAAGGAGTTTAGGAGGTGGGTATTTAGTGAAGTCTGCCCATCTATCCGTAAAACAGGATCTTATAACTTACCAGATAGAAGGTCACTTAGATATAACCAAATAATCCTTATAAACGAAACGGACCTTCATCACATAGTTGTGAGTTACATCAGAGATAACTACCCAGAGGCCATAATAGTACCTGGTCTAGGTGAGTATCAGGACACAGTGTTAAAGAGATGTGATGCCTGGAAGAAGGGATATAAAGGTGGTCAACCAGATCTTATCATAGAGAATCCTATGGGGAAGTACAAAGGATTTTCTATTGAATTTAAGTCTCCTAAGGGCACTGGAGTTATAAGTGAGAATCAGGATATATGGTTTAGGAAATTGAGGGGAATAGGGTACATGACAATGTTATCAGATGATCTGGTAAAGACTTGTATTAGAATTAACGAATACTTCTCACTTAAGAAGACTGTAAGGAAAGTTGTAGTGAAGAATATAGTTAGTGATATAAAGACGTACAGACCAAGGTTTGATTCAGGTAAGTATTGAGACATCTTACAAACAAATTTAAGTTATCTCACAAGTAAATTTGAGTTATCTCACCAGTTATCTCACCAGTAGATTTAAGTTATCTTACAAGTAAATTTGAGACATCTTACAAACAGATTCAAGTTATCTCACAAGTAGAATCTAAGATGTCTCATAAGACTAAACCCAGTTAAACCTAAGGTATCTTACAAGTGGAATGGAAGATAAACCTGAGCAAATCCAAGCACAAGTAACAAGTGAGAAGAAGAAGGACCCGAAGAGAGTAGCGGCAGGAAAACGATTAGCAGCAATCAGTGAAATAGCAAAGGAGAGGAAAAAGAAACTTGCGGAACCTAAGGAGCCATCAAGTAATGACAGTATGATTACCTACATAGGAGTGGCCATTGCACTGGTATCTCTAGTGCTAGCATACAAGTCGCATCAGTGGGAAACCAGGGAACAGGAACCCAAGCACGTAACTGAGACTGTTGAGATAACCAGGAAAGCTGATGAGTCCAGGTTAGATTCACTTGAATAATACATTAAACATAATATATATTATAACAAGATGAGTAAAGAATCAAAGATGACGAAGGAAGTGTACGACGCAGTGTTACTTACAGCAGGAGCAATCGGTATATCAATGGCATCGGAGAAACTATTAAAAGAACCATTAGGCACCCCAGAGAACGTAAAAGGAATGGCAAAGTTAGCTGTCTCAGTTAGTCTTTCATCTCTACTAGTATCTTACCTGAAAGATAAGAAGTATCTACCAGATGATCCATTCAAAACCTAGGTAAAACTATACAATGGCAGCAACAGTAGCGGGAGGACTATTTAACGCATTTGCATTTGCTGGAGCAGGATACCTATTTAAGATGTTCGATAAGAATGGATATGCTAAGGAAGCCCATAGACATAACATTGCAATGGAGAACCTAACAGCTGAAAGAGAGAAGTACCTTGAAGAAGTCACTGATAGGAGAAACAGTCTTGCCCAATTAAGGTTAGAACTAGCTGAGGCAAATAGGGATATTAATGCAACAAACAAATCACTGGAACTCGTTAGAAGAATCAATGAGTTAACACGTAAGGCTATGCCGAGGAGGCCGCAGTTAAGCAATCACTACAAACCTAACTCTGAGATGGAAGAATATATGGCAATCTTTGGTTTAATTATAGGTGGGGTGGTTGGAGGGGCAGCTTACTTAATTCTATAAAAAATACAGCAATTTTCTTTTACATATATAATATAGAGAAATGGATTGGCTTGCAATGGTAGACGTTGACGAAGTGGTAGCCTTGGGAAAAAGGGTGGACACCATAGAAGAACTAGAGGCTGCAGTTAAAAAATATGTGGAATGGCGAATAATAAGGAGGCGTAAAAACAAACCACAAAAACAAGCAGAAAATTTTAACACATATAGTATAGGGGATGGACTGGCTGACACTGGTAACACCTAATGAAATGGAACGAGTCGGTAAGAACGCAAACACTATAGAAGAACTGGAGGCTGCAGTAATGAAATACGTGAGAAATAAAATGAAGGTGAAACATACATATGACCCAGTATGTAGTGAATGTGGTAGTAAGTCAATTGTGGTAATAGATGGAGCAGATACATGCACACGTTGTGGAACTAGTGCTATTGACAACTTCACATACTACGTTAGTTACAATCACAACAAGGACGACTACTTGAAAAAGAAATCGTCCCATAATAGAGTCCGTTGGTTTGAGAGACATTTATTCGAGCATGTTGCTTCTGGGGATAGGGATACCATTCGGGAGCAGTTTAGAAGCATTGTAAGATGTATACAAAGACTTAGACTGCAACGGGGGCGCAACATAGTTAGATATAATTAAGTTTTACCTACTAAGGTTAGCCAGCATGAACAACATTACGTTGAGAAACCCACCTGAGGACATTAAGACTCAGGGAATTGTGAACATCCTTGAGGACAGATTATATGGAAAGGTTTTTCCCGAGTTGGGATGGGAACCCATAAATTGTAAATATTATAATAACTGGAAATTCGGACATAAATAAAAATTAAATAATAATTTAATTATTAAATAAAAATTATTAATTAAATTATTAAATAAAAATTATTAATTAAATAAAAATTAAATTATTAAATAAAAATTATTAAATAAAAATTATTAATTAAATTATTAAATAAAAATTATTAAATAAAAATTATTAATTACCTATAGTATATAGAGAAAGAGTGAAAAATGGCGACAAACTTTGACATGAACAATATGACCGTTGAACAACTTATGGCGCTTAGTGAGATAATTGATGATAGCGACTATGAGGAAAGTTTTGAGGATGAAGTGGAGAGAATATCTGAGGATAAGTTTTATCGAGTTGCACCTAAGGATAAGGGCAAAGATCCCTTTGAAGGAGAAAGACAATTCATAGATGAAGGTGACCGTTCTACAGACCCAAAAAGACCAAGGAGACTCCCACTAAACTACAAGGGTAAGAGGGGAATAATGCCGACATGGAAATATTCCGAGAGACAGAAGGCAAAGGCTTTACTAGTCGAGGAGGCGTATCAGAGCTTACTTAGTAGAGGAGTTGAAGGTCTACCACCAACAATGGGAGGTAGATGGAGAACGGATGATCCTCAGGTAAATGCGGAGATGAAGAGGTTAGAGAACCTTAGGAACCCCAAGCGTCCAAGAGGCAGACCACCAAAGGCCAAGGCTGACGGTGCTGTTAAGGCTCCCCGAGGACGACCACAAAAGGTTAAGTCCGACGCTGAGGTTGTGATTCCAAAGAGACGTGGAAGACCACCAAAGGTTAAGTCTGACGCTGATGTTGTGATTCCAAAGAAACGTGGAAGACCACCAAAGGTTAAGGTAGCTGAAACACCAAAACCTAAGGTCAAAAGACAGACTGTCGCGGAGAGGTTCATAAGTCAAAACCGAATAAAACTCTCGATTCCTGCGGATAGTGTGATAACTCAAGTGGGACCAGGTAAGTTCACGGTGACTGTGGATCTTAGTAAGAAACCAACACGGAAAGCTCCTGAGGTACCGAAGGGTGTGGTTCCATGGAAACCTGTTCCTAAGCCTAGAACTGTGATCCCTAAGGAAAGACCTGTTCCTAAACCTAGAACTGTATTCCCTAAGGAAAGACCAGTTCCCAAACCTAGGACTAAAAAGCCAGTGCCTCCTCCAAAGTTAAGGAAGTCTGAGAAGGTAACTAAGGAAGTCGGGGAACAGCCAGTAGTGGTCTCACCAGAGAAACATGAAATTGATCCTTTTGGAACATACCTTGAGAAGCCATCCTATAGGAAAATAGAAACTGCCGCAAATGGAGCAGCTGTGACTTACTCGATAACTCCAAATTATATGGATCCCCTGGACCAGATGACCGCAAGTAGGCAGGTGGTGAGGGGAGTACTAGTGAACGAGTTGAAGAGAATGGGAGGGCTGAAATATACGGAAACCATCAAGGTAAGAATGTCGAAGGAAATTGGAAATGACAAAACAAAGAAGGATTCAATATACTTCAAATCAAAAACAGGAACTGCAACCAACTTCGAGGATATCGAAAGCACTGCAGCCCAAAACCAACTGACAATCTTATCTAGAATTGAAACCTTCCAGAACTTAGGTTCAAATTGGATTATCCTAAACATTGAAAGCCACTACGTTAATATTGCGATGTATAAACCTCTAAAGGGAAGTTCTTATATGAAATTACCCGCAGACATTAGCAATCCAAAATGTGGTTTAATTAACATGAAAAACAACGACGAGAAATGTTTTATGTGGAGTCATGTAAGACATGTAAGACCAAAGGCTAGGAGAGCAACCACCATAACACGACAGGACATAGAGTTCGCGGAAAACCTAGATTATGAGGGAATAGACTTCCCCGTGAAAATAAGCGATATTGATAAAATTGAGAGGAAGAACTCAATAAGCATATCAGTGTTTGGTTATAAGGGTAAGAAGCAGTTCTATCCAATTAGAAACTCCAAAACAAAATATGACGAGCATATGGAGCTGCTGCTGTTAGGTGACAATGAAGGTGGTAACCATTACGTTCTAATAAAGGATGTAAATAGAATGCTCTTTAGTGTTAGCGGAAACTCGAACAAGAAACACTTCTGCCTACACTGCCTCCATAGTTGCGTCAGTGAAGAATCATTGAAGAAACATAGTGAAACGTGTATTGAGGTAAATGGAACTCAGGCCACAAAGCTTCCAAGTGAGGGTACAAAAATAAAGTTTAAAAATCACAGGAACTCGATGCCCGCACCCTTTGTGATCTATGCTGACTTTGAGTCTATGCTAGTTCCTGAGGAGAGAAAAGTTGACTCTGAAGACACTGAGGAAAAGAGTACAACAGAACTTTACCAAACACATAAAGCTTGTAGTTTCGGGTTGAAAACGGTGTGCCACTATGATGATCAGTACTCCGGTGAATACGTAAGCTACGTTGGTGAAGACGCTACAGAGGTCTTTTTGAAGACCGTACTGAAGGAGTCCATTAAGTGCAGAGAGATGGTAAATAAAATCTTCAAGAAAAAGATGGTAATCACACCAGAGCAAGAAGCTGAGTTCTGGATGACAAGGAACTGCTCCATATGTGGCAACGACTTAGGTGATGATAGAGTGAGAGACCACGACCACGTAACTGGACTGTACCGTGGAGCTGCCCATAATATGTGCAACCTAAAATATAGAATCACATGGAAAGTTCCAGTGGTCTTCCACAACCTAAGAGGTTATGATAGCCATCTAATAATGCAGGAAATTGGTAAGTTTAAGATGAACATCAACGTGGTCCCAAATAACATGGAAAAATACATTTCCTTCTCACTAGGTAAAAGTCTTGTGTTCATTGACTCAATACAATTCATGGCTTCTTCCCTGGAGGCACTTGTGAGTAACCTTTCACCTGAAGACTTCAAGATAGTCGGTCAGCGGTGGCAAGGTGAGGACTTAGATCTTGTGAGACAAAAAGGTATATTCCCTTATGAATACCTGGATGACATAAGTAAACTTGATACTGAGGGACTTCCAAGTAAAGACAAATTCTACTCATCACTATATGAGTCTGAAGTGAAAGAAGAAGATTACCAGAGAGCTCTAAAAGTCTGGGATCACTTTAAGATGAAAACAATGAGAGACTACCACGATCTCTACCTGGAGACTGACGTTCTTCTTCTAGCAGATGTTTTTGAGAATTTCAGGAGGACTTGTCTGGAAAACTATAAGCTTGACCCTGCTCACTACATATCAGCACCAAGTCTAAGTTGGGACGCATTCCTAAAACAGTCAGGAGAGGAAATAGAATTGGTAAGCGATATGGACATGTTCCAGTTCTTTGAGAAGGGAATGAGAGGTGGGATAAGTCATATTGCCCACAGACACTCTACAGCAAACAATAAGTACATGGAAACGTACGACGAAGAGGCTGAAAACAAGTTCCTTATGTACCTCGACGCCAACAATTTATATGGCTGGGCAATGTCTCAACCTCTGCCTAACGGTGAATTTGAGTGGGTTGAGGAAGTTGATAAAATAAACCTAGATGATTACCTTGAAGGTGGTGAAAGGAGTATGGTCCTTGAGGTTGACATGGAATATCCAGAAGAACTTCATAATTTACATAACGGTTATCCTCTAGCCCCGGAGAGTAAGGAGATCGACGCGTCAATGTTGTCAGATTACGCAAAGAGTATTGCTGAGAAATTCCAGCTTACGGTTGGAGGAGTAAGAAAACTGGTGAACTCACTAGGTCCCAGGAAGAACTACGTCCTACATGCCCGTAACTTGAAACTCTACATGGATCTCGGAATGAAACTCCTAAAGGTCCATAGAGCAGTCTCCTTCAGGCAGTCAACTTGGCTGAAAAACTATATTGACTTCAATACTCAAAAACGGGCAGTAGCCAAGAATGCGTTTGAGAAAAACTTCTTCAAACTTATGAACAATTCCATCTACGGAAAGACCATGGAAAATTTGAGGAAGAGAGTTGATGTAAAATTAGTGTCATCGGAAAATGACCTATTGAAACTTACAGCGTCGCCGTGCTTCCAATCACATAGGATTATGAATGAGAACTTAATTGTGGTAAAGAGAATGAAGGAAGTTCTAACTCTGAATAAACCGTGCTATGTGGGAATGAGTATATTGGACTTGTCTAAGACTCTGATGTATGACTTCCATTACAACACAATCAAGAAGGAGTACGGGGATAAGTCGAAGCTTCTATTCACAGACACTGACAGTCTAATGTACGAGATTAAGACTGATGACGTGTACGAGGACTTCGAGAGGATTGGCAAAGAGAAGGACTGCTGGGACAACTCAGATTATCCGAAAGATTCTCCATATTACTCAGCTCACAATAAGAAGGTAATTGGAAAGTTTAAGGACGAAGCTGAAGGAGTACCAGTGATTGAATTCGTAGGGTTAAGGTCAAAGATGTACTCCTATGTAAAGGAGAGCGGTGGAGGTGGAATGACAGCAAAAGGTGTGAAAAAGTACGTGATTAGAAACAAACTCACTCACGAAAACTTTAAGAACGTAATCAAGACCAAGGGTAGGATGAGACATAAGATGAACACGATTAGAAGCATCAAACATAAAATCGGAACTTACGAACTGAAGAAAATTACACTCAGCTGTTTCGATGATAAAAGATACCTACTTGAAGATGGTGTTACAAGTTACGCGTACGGACATCACTCAATAGGAAAAGTAAATTGTTAAATAATGTTGAAAAAAATAATGCTGAAAAATAACAGAAAAATAACAGAAAAAAATAATGCCAAAAATAATAGAAAAAAATAATGCCAAAAATAATAGAAAAAATAATACCAAAAATAATAGAAAAATGGTCTAGAAAAATATGAGCCCGCGTTTTTGAGGGAAAAATATGGAAACCGCTGACCGGAAGTTGGGTTAGATCGCGGGCCGAAAAAGTGGTCTAGAACCCTCATTCCCTATACTACTGGAAGTCCTGAAGGACATGTATAAAGTAACAAATTTATTGGGAATTTGATATATAAATGTAAGCAAAAACCAGATTTAGGGACCATTCATTATTTATGACTGGGGGTGGGCTGGCAAAAAAGGGGGTGGGTCATGAGGTATTTTTGACCGAAAAAGGGGGGGGGGCACCTAAAAATATTGGTTCAAAAGGTGGGTCCAGTTATTTATTATAGTGGAGAATAATCCGACATGTAACAATTATTGCTACCACAGGGAGCGAGCAAGGCAGAAAATCTAATTCATGCATGTATAGCTGGCAAAATTCTCAATTTTAATCAACAGATAGACCCAAAATGCAATGCACAAATACCTAAAATGCAATGCGTACAGCCAATATGAAAAATAATCGAACATCTACCTTATAACTTTTGCCATGAACTTGCCATAAATTTTTGTCATATTTCAATTATGTACATTTTAATAAAAAAGATAATTAACGAGTAAGCGATGCAGCAACATTACGTCCAGGGAAGGTTTGGCATATACTATATACACTAGTTTATACTAGGTATTTTATACATGGTTTTATTTAGTATTAAGGAGTTTGTCGATTTACCATGTCACGTGCGAGCCCAAGTCAAATGTCCGAGTCACCAGCTGTTTAGCGGTCTTTGTAGTTCATTGACGTAGTACCCTAACCTATACTCCTGATCCAGGGCCGCAGCTTGCTAATAATCATTCTTTTTCCAAAACCATGCAGACCTTTACATTTAAATAATATATCTTTAAAATACTGACAATTGATTAATTTTAAGCGGCTACATTATCCATGAGAAACTGCAAAGAATGAAGATATTTCTCATACTTTCCTGCAACTTATCCAATATATAGTTAATTAAATACGTATTTGCCCAGTTAGTGCCACTAAATTGTAAATTTTGGCATACTGAAATGCTGTTTTCTGACCATCACAATTCTGTCAAATCTTCCCTAAAGTCCCTGAAATGCATGCATTTCAGAGACTCTAAATTTAAAATTTCCTCGGGCCTTTGGCCCTCGCTTTCAGCTCTTACAGGACTGTATTACCCTTTATAAATTACCCTTTTCCTTTTTGAGCAACTTTTTATGACTACACTCTTAGTAGCGAAAAACCCAGTATGACCCCCAGCTTCAGCCTCTTCGGCACTCTGCAGCTTAATGGGTTAACCAAAAAATCTGACTATGTCTCTACTTGTTGTGGTGGGTTATTATTTTTTAGAATTCATGTAAAGGGGGTCATTGAATATTTTTGTGATGCAGGAGGTGGGGCAGGACATTTTGTTCAGTTGTTAATTGAATTTTGCCAGCCCACCCCCGGTCATAAATAATGAATGGTCCCTTAGGAGTTTAATTAAATTAGGCAAATAACGTAAGTCTGTACTGGGTGTGTGTTCACCTATTTGTTTACATTTGCAGTTACATAATTGGTTCATGATTTATGAAATTTGATAATCATTAGTCATGGCAACGAGTCGCTAATAATTTTAGGGTATTACTAATATTTTTTCTGAAATACTTCATTTGTCAGTTGTGTCTTATAGTATATAGCCTAACTAGAAATACATGCATGCAGTAACCCCTCGCCAATATTTCCACACATTAAACATGAAGTATTCAGAAATGACCAGCACTGAACGCAGGCTCACGCTCAAGTGTTGCCATGACAACACGATATTCTTAAATTTTTATTTTCATATATTTTGTCACAGAATAGATACAGGACCAGAAGTGTCACTTAGACGATATTTTGTCCGAAATTTTACGAGTGCTGACGTGAAAATACGCCATCATATGACGCCATCCTGGAGTGCACACGGAAGTTTTTCATAGGAAAACATAGGTACAAAGTGCCGGGTGCATCCAGGATGGCGTTTTCTTTCAGCCAAAACAAATAGGAGTGACACTTCTGGTCCGGTATTTATTCTGTGATTTTGTACAAGACTGCAAAATAGTTGACGAAAGATTCGTACTTTTAACTATACAACAATAAATTTCCGAAATACATACTGTAGGTATATTATTTTGCATTTTGTCAGCTTTGATTTAATGTAAAATTTAACTTGAAACGCTTCCTAAAATGTTTTGAAATGTTCATTCCGGCAAGTAAACCTACATTTTGCCGATAAACTGTTTTTACTTAACAAAACATGATAAGTTTAATACAAATAAAATAAAATTGTTAGGTAATTTGAGTTCAGTCTTCAAATCAATTTGTTCGCCTTTACATTTTAAGATTTTTTCTCAAATTAAACGGTAATTTATGAAACTTAGAGCTTCTATAGTTCATGTTTTTTATTACGTAAAAAGTTAAAGCAATAAAATTCGTAAACATTTTAAAAATATTCAAAGCAAATTTGCCGTAGATTTCCCGATTTCCCGTAGTAAACCAATTCTTCTCATTTCTTCAAACAAAATTGCTTCAAGCTTGTTGTATATGAAACGATTTTCCAAATATATGTCTTTTAAAATTGAAATCTTGCTTGCCATATTTTTGAGATAAGTGAGGATGACCACCCACTCAAGATCGTCGTTCGTTGGTCAGCGCCCGCGATGATTGATGAACTTTAGACTTCGCTAATGCTTTCGTGTCTCCGGGTGTAAATAGCCTGGGGGAATTAGTACCCTCGCACGGCGCGTCGCGCCGTGGGGATAAATATCTTGGGAAAAAAGATGTAATTGTATCATGTCTAATAGCTTTGGTTCAATACAATTGGCAACATCAGCAACTGGGCTGTCTTAGAATTCATGGAAGATCTTTGCTACAATCCCAAGAAAGCATGCCTTGTACCAGGAGATTAACTGATTCTCTACTTCAACCAGATTAACCACACAAATGTTATTGTCGTACCATTGTGACTGCTACCCTTTTTACAAATAATACACTCATAATTTCCATGATGATGTTCAATTATTCCACTTACTGAGAATACAATAATTACTTCTTCCCATAAAAATTATTTTGGATTTTATTGAAGTATTATTATTCACAGCCGGTCTGGAAAAGTAGGACTAATATCGTGTGTTTTGATGCATCATACTTTTCTCAGTAATGTCACTCTGTAATTTATGTCAGTAATTTCCTAGGAAAATTAAAAATCTATTCAGTCCTATCTACTATGCAGAGTTTTATTTAATATATTGAGGAGGTAGGGCTTAACAGAGAGATACAGAGGCTTAATAAATATGGTTACACTGAATATTATCAGTAAGTAAATTTCATTTTTTACATCCCGAAACAAAAGATCGCCATGTTGTGCATGAATTATATGTCACTTTCACTTGTCACAGAGTGAACATACCAAATTCAAACAAACATTCACTGGCTGTTTCTAGATGAAATAATCAACAGATTTTTTGTGCAAATAATATAATTCATGAGGGGAAAAAATGAATATTTTTGTGTGCACTTAGTTTCAAGACCAGCTAGGGGAAGCCTCGCATTGCCTCGGAAGGTCATCTCCAATTGGATGGAGGGGGGGAGTTCTAAAGAACGAAGCAATTCATTGTTGTAAACACAAATTAAAAGAAATTGTCAAATCGAGCCAATGAAAATCACTCTTCCGAACTACTGCGAGACTATCCCCAGCTAGCGGGGTTGAAACCAATTTTCCCAGTTATGATTGGAGCTGGTGAGAACATACCTTACTTTTGAACACAAAATGACATGGGACTTCATCTAGGTGGCAATATATTGGCATTCACCCAGACCATGGCAATATCACACAATATACAAGAATGTACCCATGCAGGTTCTGCCTTCTTACCAGCACAATTGATCAAGTCATACACATTCGTTACTGCCAATCTCTTTATTATTTATGTCGCATTACAATTGGTATGTACAATATATTTTCATTATCAGTATCATTACAACTTGTGCATCACCTGCAGTATCATCACAACTTGTATTTCACTAGCATCTTCATTATTATCACCATTGTAATTTTATTTATAGTCAATCACAATGAATCAAAAATTTCCTATCACACTACTCATATTACGTACTTAATTGCCCAAGGTTAAGGCCATTTCACAGCACTCCAGGATCTGAAAACCTGCAACCACCTTTTGGATCTTATTCTAAAACAGAAACAAACGACAAATGTCTTACTGGAATATCATTTCCATAAAATGACTGTCATTTGAAATCACATTCTGCTGTACTAGTAACAGCACAACTGCTCAACGTCACAACTAAGGTAAATAATAGGGATGTAGTAGGCCTAAGTTAATATTGATTACTGGTAATTGTCAGATTACTGATTATTGGTTATTGGATGAGTCAGAGACCAATGGTTGGAATGAGGGCAGTTAATTTGTAATTCTTGCATGTATTCATTTATTAACTTTTGACTACTGTACCCACCGGGCACACAGCGTTGTTTCAACGTTGAAATTTGGTAGAAAAAAGGTTGCGACGTCGGCAACCTAATATCTACGTTGCTCTGACGTTGTTTTGAAAACATTGGTTCAACAGCAGCCAACAGACGTTGAATCAACGTTCATTCATGGTTAAATGGACGACGTCGATTTGTGAAGTAATCTCAACGTTGTTTCAACGTTGATTCAACGTTGAATTATGGTTGACGAGATTGGCAACCTAATTTCAACGTTGTTTCAACGTCGAAACAGTAACATCGATCCAATTTGTCAACCCCTTTTCAACGTCTATCCAACGTCTGGAAGGTCATTTCCAACGTTGATTCAACGTTGAATAAACGTCATTTGCCCGCTGGGTAATAATCAGCCAGTTAATAAGTGTTAGATGAGTTGTGATTTGTATTATTTTATTTCATTTCTCTGCGCGAGGTAGGGAATCGTTTACAATCAATCTCTAATGACTATCAGTTCTTAATGTTCGTCTTCGTGGAGTAGTTTTCTAAGTTCACTTCAGCCTTGAGCAGGTTTTCACCGTTCGTGATATGTTCGTTAATTTCTTCGTCGTTCGTTTGTTTTGTTTTGAGTTTCTGCAGCTTTTCATCAGTTAAGCTTTATTCAGCATACGTCCACTGACGACTTTCGATTGTGCACGTCCTTTTATACTAACGGTTGAGGGAATCTCTGTACACGTGATCTAACAGTGGTATGATCTGTATCCAGCCAATCAACGTTGAGCTATGGAAGAGTTGGTTGGCTTTGCTAGCTCGTTCCAGCCATCAATTATGTTTATTTAAGGCGTTGTCACACTTGTCGAGTCGGTTCGCTAACTTCGCTGTTAAATCGATCAATGCCAAAACAGGTTCACAACTTTAAATACTTATGCAGGTCTTATAGTAAAAACTTCGAACTATACCTATGTGAACATAACTTTACCTACAAGACTTATTTACTCGTAATTTTATTGAACTAAGATTCTGATGACGTAATATTTTAATTTCATGACCGAGTGTTATAGCTTGGGATGACTCATATTTTACACCTGAATCTGTCCACGTGAAAAGGTCAATGTTCATGAGACCCAATTAAGGCAGCTGCCCTGTTTAAACAGATCTGCTCACAAGACAAACTATAGGAAACAGGTCAATCAAAACATGCATGACATTTTCACATACACAACGGCAGCTAGTCTAACAAACTGCCATAGCTTAATGGAAGAAATAATTAATGTTTTCCGAAGAACCGAAATATTTACATTACTTTGATTTGTGGCAAAATATCCATTATCTCTTCTCATTATGCTTAAAGTAATATTTGCTTGAACAAACATTTCACCTGCTCTCAAGCAAATATTTTGTGTGTTTTTTTATTTTTACCCTAAAATTCTATGTATAAGAAATAATTTTTCGTAACATAAGTATTTTACTGAGTGTAGAGATTGACGATTTTACATGTCAAAGAGAATTCCACTTATGAAAGACTGAATATTTTCTGAGCAAGCTGAAACAGAGGATTTTGATTTTAGTGAAGGATGCAGATTTAATCTGATTTATAACAAAAAATATATCAGGCATGAAGGAGAGTTTATATCTAAAAGCGAAAGATGGAGGATTAATGAAACGAAGAAAACTAATTATACAAACAGAGAGCCACGAATCTGCTGGAATTTAGGACTATAGTTTATAAACTGATAAATATATGAGAATATAATTTTTATATATTAAATATGCATCATAAAATCGTACCTCGAATATACTGCATTCGATCTTTATAGCATTCAAAATCCATATGGCTTCAAAGTTTACAATTTCCATCAAAATAAAAACAAGCTTAAAATCTGCTGCCTGTTGTTTTAACATATGAATTTTAAAACACTTGTTATACATTTGTTCTGTCCCATCCCCCGGTTCTATAGTAGTTACGCAATTTCGCGCCATTTTGCTCGTTATCGAGCTGTCATTGGCTCCAGTTTCACTCACGGGGGGGGGGGCGTACATTTTTATAGGTCGTTTTTGTAATGTCGCTCATTCGAGCACACTTTTTTCACCTCTACTTGTTTAAGTTTTATATCTAAATAAACGTAAATACAGTTGGTTACACTGCTTCAACTGCTGATGAAGGGCACCAAATGTTTTACGAGGTCAGAAGGATTAGAACAGTGTAAAAAGTGTATCGCACAGCGTAAAAATACGACGAAATCGAGGGGTTTTGCGAAGCTATATCGTGGCGTCAAATTGGGGAAATAATGTCTCGTAGTATGGTTTCTATCGCTACAAACGACAATCTGGCCGTAACAGGCGCCGAAATTGAAGAACAAAATAAAGATATACAACCTTCTGATACGCCCAAGGTTGTAAAAACCGAGTATAAAAACCGAGTAAAACCGAGTAAACCGAGTATGCCCAAGTATAAAAACCGTGCAAACTAGCGAAAAAACGGAAAATATCAACGTCCAGGGGGGGGGGGGTCATTGGGCACGATATTCCTGTGGGAAATACTGATATTACCGAAAAAAGAGATCAGAAAAGAGATCGAAAAAGAGATCGCTGAAAGGCCTAAACGAAAGACTAAACCATCAACGAAATCTATCGAGATCCGGATCGAATCGGACAAAGCCAAATTGGACCGATAATGGGAAAAAGTACAGAAGTGTATATCACAGCTTCTAGACGCACCAAACTCAGTGGACGAGATACGTCAGGCGACATCGCAGGTACGTTCGAATTTCAATATTTACCAAGAGACATGATTATCATTTGTAGACTTCCTTGCACATTCTGGCACACCCCAGTGCCTCCAAGAGCATGAGCGAATGGAGGGCATCATTAACAATCATAAACAATTTGTGCATGAAAATATAACTCAGGGGAATCGACGTTAAGGCTGATTTCCACTGTTGCGTTTTTCGTACGCACGTACACGCACATAAAACTTTGAATCCTTCTATTTTTTAAATATTTTCCAAATAAGTTAACAAATGCATACTAAAACTTGCGGAACACTAAATTCTGTTGCTTTATTTATTTGGTTATTTCATAAGTAACATTTAAACGGATTTAAAGTTTTACGTGCGTATACGTGCGTATGAAAAACGCAACAGTGGAAATCAGCCTTAAGGAAGAAATTATGTTAGAGATGCGGTCATTACGTTCTAGTTCTGGATCTCGTGCGTCTTCCATGTCATCCACCGCTCTTCGAGCGCGAGCTGAAGTTGCTGCAGCAATAAAAAAAAGCTGAGTTGCAGAAAAAACGACTCCTTGTAGAATCTCAATCAGCATTCGTAATACAACAAGCGGAATTGGCCCTAGCTGGACATAAACTCGATGAACAGGCCCGGTTAGAAGCCCTACGTACGGGGGTTCCTACGTACGGAGGCTGCGGCAGTTGCAGTAGCTAAGGCCAACGCCATTGATGATGAATTGGGTTTTTGCACTGGTGGCGAACTACCCCATTTAGACCTACCTGAAGAAAACTCTAGCCAGAAGGTACAGCATTTTATTGAAAATCAGTGCATTGACCCAACCCCTAACACCCAAATTGATCCCTCGAGTACCCCCAACCAGTCTATTCCATCAACCGAGCATGTCAACCCAACCCTTAACACCCAAGTTGCTCTCTCGAGTACCCCTAATCAGCCTATTCCATCAACTGAGCATGTCAACCCAACCCCTAGCACCCAAGTTGTTTCCTCGATCGAGTACCCCTAACCAGCCTATTCCATCAACCGAGCATGTCAATCCAACCCCTAACACCCAAGTTTCTCCCTCGAGTACCCCTAATCAGCCTAGTCCATCAACTGAGCACGTCAACCCAACCCCTAACACCCAAGTTGTTTCCTCGAGTACCCCTAATCATCCTAATCCATCAACTGAACATGCACCAGCACCCCAGCTCTTGAATCCCACAGCAAGCACCTTCACACGTAATAGGCCCTCAGATTCATCATCAAACTCAGATCAAAATTTAATAAAGTCCTGCATTGAATTTATGGCCCGTCGAGAACTCATTGCTAACAAAATCGAGAAATTCGATAACAGCCCTGAAAATTTCCACACTTGGAAACTATCATTTAAGAATATGACAAGGAATTTAAACATTACCCCTAGTGAAGAGCTCCAGCTAATTATAGAGTACACTACAAATGAATCGAAGAAACTCGTCCAAAAACTGCGTAATGCATATATTGAAAACCCGAAAAGGGAGTGGCAGAAGTGTGGACAAAATTAGGTGAAAGATATTGGTCCAATGTCGTATTGACCAAGGCATATGTAGATAAACTGACAAATTAACTTCCCTAAGATTGGGTTTAAAGACAATAAGAAATTTCAAGAATTTGGTGACCTTCTATTAGAGATACAATGTGCAAAGGAGGACGGTCGACTCCAGGGACTAAGAATCCTGGATGAACCCATCTACCTGAAACCAGTACTAACCAAATTACCTGGAGATATCCAAACTAGGTGGCAGAGACATGCCTTTTCCTACAAGAGAAACCATGATGTTGATTACCCACCATTCGCAGAGTTTTCTACGTTTATCCAAGATGTATCACTCGAGAAGAATGACCCGAACCTGGCCTTCGAGCGTCCCGAAAACGACAACCCTGCAGCAAGAATGCGTGGTAGATACCCTAGGCAAAGCTACAAAACCGAGATTATGGATCCTTCATCTGGAGATCATACGAATACTCCAAACCCAAATTTGTGTATTATCCAGCAGAAGCCTCATCCCCTTAGCAAGTGCCGTGCCTTTCGTGCATAACCAATTGATGAGAGAAAAAACCTTATTCGACAACACCGCTTGTGTTTCCGCTATCTTGCCTCGACCATCCACATGGCAAAGGATTGTAAGCTTCCAGTGATATGCACTGAATGCGAAAGTGACAAACATTTAGCTGCATTACATGTAGAGCGAAAGCCGAAACCAAAAGACCCAGAGGAAGTCCAAGGCGGGGAGCAAAGGAATGGTCAACAAGACGATACAGACAAGATGGATAAGCAGCAGAATGGTGAGCCTAGTCGTATAACAACAACGTGTACCGAAATTTGTGGTGATAAACCTGGTGGAAGATCATGCTCTAAGATATGTCTGGCAAACATCTATGTCAATCAACACTCTGATAGAAAGGTTAAAGCATATGTGCTTATTGACGACCAAAGCAACTGCTCATTTGCTAAGCCCCAGCTTTTTGATATACTGAATATGGACGGTGAGAGTTTCCCTTATACTTTGAGAACGCGTGTTGGCACGATGCAGACCGAGGGAAGGCATGCCAAAGGTCTTGTAATCGAATCATTGGATGGACATAAACGACACCAGCTTCCCACCATAACAGAGTGCAATGCAATACCAGTCAACAAAGACGAGATCCCTACACCTGACATAGCAATGGCTCATCCGTATCTCCGCCAAATTGCTGATCAGATACCCGAAGCCCAACGTGACACCGACATCCTTCTGCTCATTGAGAGAAATGTACCACCACTTCACAAAGTTCGAGAGTCTAGAAACGGAAGGGGGAACTTGCCATGGGCACAACGATTAGACCTCGGATGGGTCATATTGGGCAATACATGTCTAGACGGTGTACACAAACCCAATGATCTCTCCTCCTTTAAAACCCACTTACTCCACAACGGGCGACCTTCCATCTTCGAGCCTTGCTCAAATGTATTCCACGTCGACAAAGCGACACCAGCACATGCAGATTCTCGTGAAAGCGTAAACGAATTCCGTAGGAAAGAGTCGTTCTCACAAGGAAAGTTCGAGGATGGACTTGCCAGCAAGGTGTTTGAACGTACAGAACTTGACAACAGACCAGGATATTCTGTTGAAGATCGAAAGTTCATCGAAATTATGGATACAGGCATGAAAAAGAACGAAACGGGAAGCTGGATAGCTCCTCTCCCATTCCGCAATGATGTGACACACCTGCCGAACAGTCGTGAGGAAGCCTTCAAACGCCTAAAGTTCACAAGAAAAACGCTCGATCGTAAACCAGATATGAAAAAACATTACTTTGCCTTCATGCAAAAGATTCTAGATAACGGGCATGCCGAGTCTGTACCTCCAAGCGAAGTGGTTACATCAAAGCCCTGTTGGTTCTTGCCTCAAACCCAACAAGATACGGGTTGTCTTCGACTCGGCTGCTGAAATCAATGGTATTTCACTCAACAAACTACTACTATCTGGACCCGACTTTACGAACAGCTTGCTGGGAGTGTTATTGCGTTTTCGTCAGAACCCCACAGCATTCATGGCCGATATAGAGCAGATGTTCCAAACAGGTGGGAAATTTGTCGTCGCTGACCAAAAAATCGCGGGCAGAAACAAAGCTCATTGCATTTACATTCAAAACAAAGCAGAAAGTTAGGTAGAAGCTGTTTTTCCATTCAACGATTTACAAATTAACGGTTATTCTTTTAAAAGTCGACTATAAATTCTTTGTCTTGGGATGATTTGTTTTGTAATTGAGTGATTGGAAGAAGTTAATATGGCGACGTGAACATGGGAGTAAATACCGTATACGTCGATCTGTGACTTGTTTAAAACCGTAATAAACGAAGAAAGACGTGGTATGAGAATGAAATGTAAGTTGAAATTAACTTTATATGCCTCAAATTTTGCATCCTATGTTTCTTAATGTAACTTCAGGTGTCTAAGTTCAAAATACAAGCTCGCGAAAATTGACAAATTTTGAAAATATGTAAAAATAGCTTGACTTTGAACTGTATTTTCTCAAAAATAGCCCGTGGCCTCAATTTCAAATATAGCTAAATGAAAAGAAAAACATTTTCGGCGTTTGTAGGTATCAAACATATCGTCAGGAAAATAGGGGCTCACAATGTTTTTGCTGAGTTTTTGAGACCCAGTTGCTTCGCACGTGTTGTGGTCAAATTTTTGCCAAGAATCAAAGCCCGAAATGTGAACTTCCTTCATGAAAACCGGCTCGAGAAGGGTCTAGTTTGAGAATTTAGCTATTAATTTCGATTTCATGAGCATATTTTGGTTACACGTCAAATATTTTTGTACTTGATGAGATTCAAAATTTGTTGTATATTCAAGCCCGGCTTTAGTGTAATTTTGGCGATGACCGGAACAGAAATAAAGATATTTTAAAAACTGGCCGTGGCCTCACGATAAAACTTTCTAAAAATGTACTCTGTTTCATGTATTTTTATTTGATAACTTAGGTATAAGCGTAAAAATAGGGGCTCATACAGTTTACGAGGTTGTAAAATGCATGACTTTCCTCTATTTTCATGTAAACATTCGAAATTTTTCGACAGCAAAGTAGCAACTGTTTCAGATCGAATGCACACGGACAGCCGACCAGAGACAATGGCAGGGTACTGAAATAGAACGTCACTAAAACATTCTGTATGATTAATTTTAGATAATGTCCATTTTCAACATAAAACAGTCATTTATTTTGTACAAACAAATTTGGCAATATTTACACGATTGTGCCTTTTTGGAAACTCGCGTTGCGTGTATTCCACGCAATTGCGTGGCTCATTTTGCTCGCGCATGCTCAGACAAATTTCCCACCTGTTGATGTTCCATTCATTTGTCGTCAGAGAAGAACATCGCGATTTTTTACGATTCCTGTGGTACAAGGGGAACGACCCAGATGGGGAAGTTGTAGAATATCGAATGAAAGTGCACCTCTTTGGAAATACGTCGCCACAGTAGTCGCCACGCTCGGCCTAAGAAAAACAGCGCAAGATGGGGAGGCCCAATTCGGATCGGACGCTAGAGAATTCGTGGAACGGGATTTCTACGTTGATGATGGGCTTAAATCCCTACCTGGAAGTAAGCAGTCGATCGACCTACTTCAACGCACCCAAGGAATGTTGGCGACAGCGAACTTGCGTCTTCACAAGATCGCCTCAAACGATGCAAACGTAACCCAGGCATTTCCAAGCGAAGATCGTGCCTCTGAACTGTGTAATCTCGACTTAAACAATGATACGAAACCAATCCAGTGGTCATTGGGCGTGTATTGGGACCTCGAAACTGACACGTTCACCTTTAAAGTTTCTGAAGGAAACAAGCCATTTACGAGACGGGGAGTTTTGTCTGTTATCAACAGTCTCTTCGACCCATTGGGAATTGTGTCGGCAGTGATAATCAAGGGAAAGATTCCAGAAGAACACAACGCAGCTTGGATGGAATGGTACCAATCCCTCTCTAGCTTGCAACATCTCAAAATCCCACGTTAATACACCCTAACACTACTTTCCGAGACAAGTTCTATCGAGCTCCATGTATTCTGTGACGCCTCCATCCCATTCTCGTACGCAGAGCCCTTCTTAACGCGCGTTCGACCGAGCGCGACAAGGGGCTCTGGCCAAATCCATAACCGGATACTATAAAAACCTGGCATCCGGTTTAACACTGCTCAACGTCAAACGCGGATAAACGGTTCGGTTTTCTTGTTTGTTTCGTTTTGAAAGTTTTACTCCAGGAAAACCCCACAAAAGCGGTAGGTTTCGCTAATTTTATTTATTTAAATCAATTAGTAGGTAAGACGTGATGTTCTCAATGTATGTTGATAAAATTTAGTATATATTTCCCTCTTAAACGTTATCAAAGCAGTAATGGATACGGATACGAAGACGAGAGTTTGTCTCACTATTTTATATTCGATTTTAAGTCGCTGTTTGTACAGATTTTTAGACTTTTTTTGTGTTTTATTAAAAGTCAACAGACATAATTAAGACATACTATACTGTAAATCGGTTTCTAGGAAGAAAATAGTCATCACAATTAACTTCATATTCTGGCTGGCTTTAATATTTTCCGCTTCAGATGGCACTTCAGCTTTGAACATGCAACACAGATTTGTTTGATTAACATCACTGATTTGGAAATACGACGAGCATCTGCCATAAATATGCTGACTTTTTGCTATGGGAACATCACGTCTCAACCTATTATTTCAATCAACTAATTGATTTAAATAAATAAAATTAGCGACATCTACCGCTTTTGTGGGCGATTATCAACAACAATCTTCCTAACTGCTTCGTACTGCTGTTCTTTCAACTTTAATAATGTCTTTTCTCCCAATTTTCTCCAAAACGAAACCAACGCTTCATGGAGCGCTTGATTTTTATTCATATTTTATACAATAAACCATATAATATTTCGTTGTGGCCAATCAGAAGCCAGTTTGATATGGATTTGGCCAGAGCCCCTCGTCGCGCTCGGTCGAACGCGCGTTGAGAAGGGCTCTGGGTACGAGAATGCCTCCATCCATGTGAATTGCACAACCTCGTTCTAAGAAAGACCCGGGAAACGAGGTTGGGAATTGCAGCGGTTTGCTATCTGAAGTCTACACAACCTGACGGAAAGGTTCACGTGTCGTTCGTCTTCGGGAAGACCAAATTAGCCCCATCCCATGCCACAACTATCCCTCGCCTGGAGCTATGCGCTGCTGTCCCTGCAGTAGAAATAACCGAGTTAATTATGGAGGAACAAGCTATCAAACCCCATTCAATAACTTACTACTCGGACAGTAAAGTAGTCCTGGGCAATATTGGAAACGAAACACGCCGGTTCTACGTCTATGTAAGCAATCGAGTCGAACGGATACGAAAATCTTCTTCTCCAGAAGAATGGTGCTGCGTCCCAACGCAATTAAACCCTGCTGACTGCGCAACTCGATCAGCGAAGGCAAACGAGCTGGATAACAGTATGTGGCTCAGTGGTCCGAAATTCCTCCGCGATCAAGACCCGCATTATGACGCCTCGGAAGAGTGTGTTGTTCCCGAATCCTTCACCGATGACCCCGAAGTTCGTCCAGATGCGAAATTAAAACGCTTGCCACGAAGGTACAGAAAAGCACAACAATTGGAACTAGTCGTTTTACGAGATTCTCGTTATGGTCAAATCTAGTGAAGGGTGTATCCAAGCTTATATCGACTGCCCGGTCCTACAATCGAAGCAACAAAGCTACTCGTGAATCTTCCGACGGAACGACCGAGATACAACCTCGTGACGGCGCTGTGGAAAGACGTAAGCAGGCGGAGACGGTAATAATTAAGAACGTACTGCAAGAGGTCTTTGCAAAGGAGATTGAGCAGACAAAGAAGGAGGAGAAGTTACCTAAAGGGAGTGTTCTTACGAATCTAACTCCGATGATCAACTCAAACGGACTCGTACGGGTCGGTGGACGTCTCGAAAGAGCTGAGCTAACCGTTGAAGAGCGTCACCCAATAATTTTACCAGGATCCCACCACATTACCACCTTAATGGCGGAAATCAAGGCGATTGTCAACAACAGGCCTCTAATCCCAGTGTCCAACGATCCCGAAGCACCAGAAATCCCTACCTCATTAACCCTATTAACCCAGAAATCGACAGCCTTGACCGCGACACCAGGACAGTTCACCTCGAAAGATTTGCACACCGCACAGTGGAGACAAGTGCAATATTTGGCCAACGTTTTCTGGTCTCGTTGGCGGAAATAATTCTTACCCATGTTACAGCCAAGACGAAAATGGCAATGCGAGCAACCTAATTTACAAGAAGCAGATCTGGTTCTGCTCCGAAGTAAGGAAGTGGCGAGAAACATGTGGCCCCTTGCACTTGTAACAATGGCCCACGAAAGCGCCGATAGGAAAGTAAGGAAAGTAGAGCTGATGACGCAACGGACGGTATAAAACGCAGTTACACTAGACCAGTTAACGAGGTTATTTTGCTAAGGAATAAAGACGAACTTAATCCGAAGCCTTAGAGAACTTGATAAAAGAACAAACTTCAAACAGTTCATATTAGTTAATGTTATAGTCTATGTATCCATAGCATTCGAACAGTCATTCGAACAGTTATTACGAACAGTTATTGCGAACAGTTATAGTGGTATCATCATACCAGGCGGGGAGTGTTCTGTCCCCTCCCCCGGTTCTATAGTAGTTACGTCATTTCGCACCATTTTGCTCGTTAACGAGCTGTCATTGGCTCCAGTTTCACTCACAGGGGGGGCGTACATTTTTATAGGTTGTTGTAATGTCGCTCATTCGAGCACACTTTTTTCACCTCTACTTGTATAAGTTTTATATCTGAATAAACGTAAATACAGTTGGTTGGTTACACTGCTGATGAAGGGCCCCAAGTGTTTTACGAGGTCCGAAGGATCAGGGGCCGGTTTATCAAAGGCGTTTAGCTTAAACGGTGGATAAGCAAAAATTTAAAAACATTCCTATTCATCTTGTAAATAACTAAACTTAAATTTTATCAACAAAATGTGTAGTTTTATGCATAGTTGTTATGTTTAGACTGAAAAGTTATGTTTTCTTGTAGTCTATAGTTCATAGATTTGATTGATAATTTTGAATTATCCACCGTTTAAGCTAAACGCCTTTGATAGAGGGTCCTGAAGGGGGGGTCCCAATCCCATTTCCCACCTGAAATTTTGGCAAAATCCCAGTCCCAGTTGGATTTTTGTTAGAAATCCCCAGTCCGAGTTATTGAAATCCCAGTCAATAAAAACCCCTTTATTTATCGGTGGAATAAACACTTGTTTTAAGACCTTTTAAGCCACCGTGTGTGCAAGTGGCGGACACTTTATGAAATATTGGGGCTCGTGCCGGGGCACAGAAAATTTTAAAATTTGAATCCCGGAAATGGCATTTGCAGCATTCTGAAACACGCATAATCAGAAAACCCAGAATTCCGGACGCCAGAGTATGCCTGTTTGCAGGTAGTGCTGTCAATAATATAGTTAACAACAAAAATCATGACCCAGGACACCAAAAACATAGATCAAAATTGTATTTTCAAATACTTAAAACGTAGAAAAACTGGGAATCGAGTCGCATTACCTCAATCCCATTCCCATTTTTGAGGACTTCATTTCCCATTCCCAGTGGCCAAATCCCAGTCCCAGCAACCCAAATCCCATTTTCCCAGTCTAAAAATAGATCAATCCCAGTTCCCATTTTACCCCTTCAGGACCCTCTTGATACAACCGGCCCCAGAACAACATTCGTATTTTAAAAATCAAAGGCACAATATGTATTTTTAAAATTTAGTTCGCCCATTGCAATGTTCAGTTGTTCATCCCCCGGGATGACATGACTTTAATAAGGCCATGTTACAAAAATGTCCAATATTTTTAGACACACGTGACCAGTGTTTACCAGGGCCTGTGCTTCCCGTACCAGAGCCTCTGAACCGCGCAAAGGCCCTGGGTACGAGGTTGACTTTGCCTTAAGGGGGGTCAGATTTACCTGAATTTATCCAAATCAATGTTTTTACCTGATTTCAGTCGCTAATTAATATTTTTTTTCCAAAACTATTGTTGGCGGGCGGGGGAGGGGGGGGGGGCGGCGTTTCCGGACATACCAAAATTTTTCCGAACGTAATGTAATTTTCGCGAATATACAAAAAATTTTCTGGACATATCCTAATTCAGTTTCCGTAAATACAAATAATTTTCCCGCCATATCTTAATTTTTACGAAAATACTGAAACATTTTCCACAGATCTAGTTATTTTTCCTAATTCACTTTCTCATGCCTTGAGAACTACCTGAATTTACCTGAAAATCTACTGGAAATCTACCTGAAATTGCTGATGAGCAATTATTAGGGGGTGTTGCACCCCACACACACACACAGTCGCTACGGCCCTGGTAACAATGAGTGATGTGCACTGACGCGTTCACGATAAGGCAGAAAACAGTTAAATGTGAGTTCGTAAACAGTCCCTATATCAACCTCGTCCCCAGGGCCTATTGAGGAAGGAGGCGAAGCAGCAAAGGCCCTGGTAAAGGTTGGTCACGTGATGCTTCAAATTTTGAATATTTCAGAATATTTAACTTTTCAAACCGGGGGTGCGGGCCGCTTTGATTTTATCAAACATGGCCGTGCAAAGGGGCGATAGAAGCTTTTGCGACTGAAACCAGAGACTGAAACTATGATGATAAACTTTTCAACTGACAGTGGAAATAAATATATAGTCTGCGATGTTCTTCAAAAAAATATGGAATATAATCAACAGCAATACTTGTGGAAGATCAAGATTCAAAGAGAAGAGTCTAAACACTGACTGACAACAGTAAATATTTCTTTTCAGCTTGGAAGCGTGTTTTATAATATTTGTCGTTTGGGAGTCAATAACATACTGCCAGTGAAGAATTTGATTTGGGACTTTGATGTACCTTTATGAAAAGATTACTACTGAATACAAATGTGCATGTAAAATGTGATTAGAACGTTTTAATATGAACAGTTGCACTGTCATTGACTCAATATATTTTAATGTGGCCGGGACAAACATTAAAAAAACATTAAAGTACTGTGCCAAGTGATAAAATTCCATGCCGACCATGGGTTACGTATGTATGCATTTTTATTAAACGTTTATACCAATATACACTATTTTAAACCTTTGTGTGTGAATTTTGTGTGTTGATTTTATGATATTTGACAACCATGAATATTAATATAATATGTTAACAGCAAGTTTACAGTATATATATCGTATAATACAAAAGCAATATCACTGATATTATCCGCACAAGACTCAAGTACTGTACATGGTCTAATAGATGTTTCTTAGTCAGCAACTATGCTCTTTGACATTGTGGCAATCAGGTATTCTTGGGGCTTTTAGCTTGGTTTTTCACTTTTTTGATACAACTATAGAATACCCACAACTTTCACACCTTACCGCTATTAATTCCTTGTAAACATTGTCAATTTACTCAAAATTGATCTAATATGATTGCCTCATTCTTCAAAAACCCCCAGTCAACTTTGAACCAAACTAACATACTCGTATGATTTAATCTCTAAACTTTACCCTTAAACTATTTTGAAGTGGTTCTTGTACGTATTTATGTGTCAATGAAATGCGGAAAAATGGCGAGGTATTCTACAAGCATTCCAGCATGTGTGTTTTTGAACCTTCACTGTTGAGAGAGCATGCCATGGGTCTCCCCAAATTATCTGAGCACTTCAACCAGACCCGAACAGCTGCCAAATGGCAACTACTATGCTCAGAGGTGTAACTTAACACTTGCCCGGGGCAAGTGAATATCATGATGGGCAAGTAAAAGTTTCCTCTAGGTTGCCCGAACGGGCAAGTTGCTTTGCCACAAAAAGCTGCCCAGCTTTCAGTTCATATTATTATTGTCGGATAAAATAAAGGCTGTTCGACGACATTGGTTCAAGCTGGCAAATCATCTGCATCAAATTCATCTAAATTGTTTGATTATATTATGCATTGATTCTCTTTTTGGTTATTAAATGTTTATTCATGATATGATAACGAAATATGGCAGGACTTAATTTATGGCAGGACTTAATTTGGGACTTTATTAGTCCTGTTGTCTGTGCCTTCAATTTCTTATTGTAAAACTAATAAAAAAAAATAATGGTGATTAGTGTTACATTAAATAAGTGTACTTGATTCAAATTTTGTTTAATATGTGAGCCAAAGCTAGATCTGAGGTAGTTTAGATCTGAGGCAGTAACATATAGCCAATGCCACTAGTCCAATGAGTGGATATGTTGTCTCTCTAATTTATACTGGCCCGCGTAGGTACCCCATGGCCTGATGGCAAGTGGTACATTGCATGGCACATTGCAGCTCAATGGGTTAACTAGAGACATTGTCAGATTTTGGTTAATAACCACAATTGCAAGAGGTCAGTACAGTCTGTAACAATAAGTAATTCAGGAATTCACACAGTTCTCAGTAGTTAAATGATTATCGGATTTCATATTAAATGATTATCGGATAATGTTGAGCATCAAGAATATATGTATAATATCCTTCATACATCTATAATAATATTCAGGCTAAATATCATAGTTATTATTTTATGTACTATAGTTGTATCAGGTATAAAGATACGAGGTGAAGCCAAGTATCTTTAGGTCTGATAAAGCATACACTGCAAATGTTTTAAATTGCTCAACTGATGGTCACCAACAACAAATAGTACTTTATTACAAGACGGCAAAATGTATTTAAATTAAAAGAGATGAATAATCTTGTCACTTGATACATTTGACACCAGGTGTCTTGTATTTGTCCATAAGAGACCCCTTGTTATTGTATCATGTTTTGAGAATGAGTTCAATTTTGATATTTGTTGTTGATCTGAGCAAAATATTGATTTGAGGCACCTACTGAGGCACACAGTATTGAACAGTCAATTGTGGTGAGTGATGCTGAACTGCCTGTTGTATGTTGTGAGTGATTTTGAGCGCCTGTTGTGATGAGTGACACTGAATTGCCCCAATTGTGGCTCAGGAAAAATGTACCTGCTGACTTGTCAAATAATCTCCTTAAATAATGTTCTGGGAAGTAATTTGTGTAATTGATTACAAACAAAAACAAGAGCTTGTTAACAGTATAATGAGGAAATTAATTCCATCTCATTATATTATTCAGCCTTGATAAAGCATATGGAGGCTTTCTGTCTGATTTGACCCTCATGCATGTAATTGTTTGGGAA